CAGGTAATAATCTTTCTCTTTCTCTCTTCTTTTCAATCATTCATCTTCTTTGTTCTAAAAATCTCAACTTTTTCGTGTTTTTTCAGCTTCTGTTCGTTTTATCCGATCTCAAAGGTCCGTCCTTGCCGTTTCAAATCCTTTTAAAAATCAATTTTCTTTTGTTTTCTATTGAATCTTCTCTTTGTTATTCGATGAACTGAAACTTTCCCCTTTTGATTACAGGAAGTTGGAACCAAAAAAAAAATCCGATCTTTTTTTCTTTCTGTTTCAGGCAAATTCGTATTTTCTCCAGAACATTCAAATGGGAAGCTGCGTCTCTAAGGTTTCTATGTTTGGCTTTTTGCTCTTTTTGTCGTATGAAACTGTTGTTTGTCCGATGAGAAATTAAAGCCCCTTTTTGTTCGATGGTTTTACAGGGCAAAGGAGACGATGATTCAAACCATAACATTGAGTTTTGCGGTGGTAATGTTCATCTGATAACAACAAAGGAATCTTGGGATGACAAATTAGCAGAAGCTGGTCGTGATGGCAAAATAGTAAATGCTCTCTTTTTTCATCAAGTGTTGTTGGTGTTGTGTTTCTCAAATCTCATGAACACTATCTTTTAAAACAGGTGGTTGCAAATTTCAGTGCGACTTGGTGTGGTCCTTGTAAGATTGTAGCACCATTTTACATCGAGCTCTCAGAGAAACATCCTTCTCTTATGTTCCTTCTTGTAGATGTTGATGAACTCAGCGTAAGAACTAACCATACCTTTCCATATATATACTCTCTTTTAGTGTCAAAATCTCTCCAATGTCTCTCTGTGATTTGTGCAGGATTTTAGCTCATCATGGGACATAAAGGCAACACCGACATTCTTCTTTCTAAAGAATGGAGAACAAATAGGGAAGCTTGTTGGAGCAAATAAGCCAGAGTTACAGAAGAAGATTACATCTATCATTGATTCAGTACCTGCAAGTCCACAACAGCTTTGACGCAAGCCTTGTCTTCATCTTCTTCTTCATGATGAAAGTATCAAAAATGTCTTTTGTTCTGATCAATGTATGTAAAATGCAAGAGTGAAAAAAAGTCTTAAAAAAACATTTGAGTTAGATCATCATCGTATTTCTATAATATGCATCTTTTCATTCTCAATACTGAGTTCTCTCAATCTAAAATGCAAGCAACAAGCTTTTCTCTGTAATTTTTCATTCTTCTAACATATTGATCCATCCTCATTGCGGATTTTGTTTTTGTTTTCCTTTGTATACTTTCCTGAATCCCTCAAGCAGACGTTTCAGATTACATCAGACAACACGGGTTGAGAGGCCTGAAGTCCCTTATATCCATGGCTTGGACTTGGATCACCCGAGATTGTTGTTCCTTGGCCAAATAGACCCAAGATTTATATGAACATATGTATTTATAGAGTGTGGATCCTCATATATAGAGTTTTTGCAAATGAAAATTTGTTATGAAGTTAGATTTTAAGGTCAGTTTGTCACTTTTACAATTCAAACATTTACTTTGACTTGAGCTCTTCTCTCAGTTAAACACACATAAAAAACGTTACTAGATACCAGTCTGGTCCAAGAGCAACATCGTTATCATCTTGATCTTATACACATACGTTTTCACTTTTCAACGTTTTTTATTTTTGGGTCAAAGGTCAATGTTGGTTGCTCTGGTTCGATAATTTAGTAATTTGTTTTCAATCACAACAATTCCTTCACTATTTTAATATGATCTCATAATAAAAATAGGTTTCTTCTTAGTCAACCGCAAGCTTAATTCATTTATTTATTGCCATATCCATATGTTTCAGACATTTCTAATTTTCTATATAATAATATAACTCTAAATTTTAAAAATTTGGTAAAAAGTGAGAACGAAAGTGGAGAAAGAAGCGACCACAAGAGTTGACAAGCATGGGACGAACCAACAAAAGGGGCCAAACAAAAAATGTGAAAAGAAACACAAGAAGATGAGGAAGAAGAGCTGTAAACATCAAATTATGTATATATTCCATAAACATAAAATATTTTTTCATAATTCATAATTTCATCTACAAATTCGATGTAGTTTGGTTAAGGAACGAAGGAGGAGGCCTGACGTATGTGAAGTTGCTAAAAGGATTGGCCTTAGGATCCGAGTTAGGACTGCTTGCTGGTGAATCCAACACAGACATATCAGTCCAACACTTGTCAAAATTAGCTATGCATTGTCTTCCTGATACCTCCGGCCTGAAACTTGGCTTCACTTCTCTTGCTTCAAGCTTCTTCCAGTTTATTCCTTTGAACCATTTGTGCTCTTTTATCTCCTCTGCTCCGCTCGGTCCACTTCCAAGTCTCCTCTCTGGCTCTTTTTGCAGCAGCTATTATACAAATTCAATACAATATCAGAATCAGATATTTGTCTAATTGTATTTGAATGCTTCATTGTTCATTAGCACACAAAGATTTCTCATGTTTGTGATTACTTACCCCTTTTAGCAACGCATGAGCTTCATTAGACAGAAACTGCGGAAGTTTGATCTTGTCCTTCACTATCTTCTGCTGTATTTTTCCTTTGCCCCCTAGAAACGGCGGCTGCGAAAGGAGGAAAATGGCATCACGCAAACACATATATATCACCTAAACAAGTACCAAGACAGTCAAAAGGCGGGTTTTTACCTTTCCAGTGAGCATCTCATACAGAAGAATCCCTACGCTCCACCAGTCAGCAGCCTTATCATGTCCTTTTCCACGAACGATTTCAGGTGCCATATACTCTGTAGTCCCACACATGGAGTTTGATCTTGTGTTTTCTTCAAATTCCTTTGCTAAACCAAAATCAGTTAACATCACGTGGCCATCTGCGTCCATGAGTATGTTTTCGGGTTTAAGATCTCTGTGCATTATGCCTTTCTCATGAAGGTGGGAAACTGCAGAGACAATCTCCGCGGTGTACACACGAGCCAAGTCCTCTCTGTGAAAAACAAAACACATAACTAGTCTCAAGCCTTGCAGAATTCTGGTGGAAACTCTATAAAATAGTTCATCAAAGAATTAGACCAAACCTGAAAAGTCCTTGGTGATAGAGCTGGAAGAAAAGATGCCCTCCGTTGATAAAATCGAGCACAAGATACAGCCTGTACTTAGTCTGCACAAAAAGGTATATTTAGAGCTCTAATTTAACCAGTTATAGAGCAAAATCACTGGGATGTTAACAGAGAAAAGTGGGATTTTTACCTGAAAAGAGTATTTTAGTTGAACGATGAATGGATGATCAATTTTGGTAAGAATATCGCGCTCAGCTTTCATGTATTCGGCGTGGTTCTTCTCCATAATATGATCTTTTCTCATGACCTTCATCGCGTATATCTCAGACGTCTCTTTCTTCCTCACCTGGTACACTTTTCCAAATGCACCTTTCCCCACAACTTTCATAACCTCAAAATCCTCAATGCCTACAACACCTGAGACCTTCACCAGATCTCCCTCTGCAGCTTTCTCACTGTCAGTGTCCTCATTACCAGATGATTCGCCTTCAAGACATTCCACCAAGTCAACCGAGTCCTCTGTCTCCCTTAACGTGAGCTTGTTCAGCTTGAAAGAATGACTACTGAGCAAAGACGGGCCAACCAACGAGTGTGATCGACTGTAGACAACAGCAGGCTCGTCGAAAACAACATCACTGGCTTCTTCAGGAAGTGGACCAAACACATCAGAGAAGTCAAGTTCAACGCTATCTTTCATGACAGAATTTGAAGGGCTGATTGATAAATATAGCTGTTTCTTGTTTTTGTCAGAGACAGGACAGTGAGAGGAAACCATATTTCAAACCGATCGACAAAAGAATCACCACGGAGAAAGAAAAGCTTCACGAAGACTCGTACCGACAGATTTAATGAGGGGAAAACTGACCAAAAATACTGCAAATCTGGAAAATTTGAGCAATAGGCAAACCAATAACAAGGAGGAGAAGAAGCTCTTGTTGTTTCCCAATTTTAAGGAAACGATTGATGCTGCAGAATTGCTCTAATGCCATGAAGGTGTTGTAAGCTCTGCAGTTTCATAAAAGTTTTGACAAGTTTAGAGACATGAATGATAAAATAAAATCTGAAGTCATCACAAGATTGACTAATTTGATGGAAAGAAAACGGAATTAAAGTAAAGCAAAGTCCAAAGATTGAATTTTTAATTACCAAAAGTAAAAGTCATCATGATTGAGATTAAGAACAACTTCGCACCGACCATATACAATTCTTGAATAAAAAAAAACACTACACAATTGCCGGATTCAGAGAATCGGTACAAAACCGATACAGCTTCGTAAAGGAACTTAGATTTCGATAAATTCAGATCTAATCCGGAAAACAGGTACCCTATAAAGGCTAAACAAAAGTTTCAAGCAAATTGAGATAAACAGGGGAAAAACAAAAATTTGACTTGAACCTAAACGGTTTCGTGTAGTGTAAACAATTTTGAAAAATTCTATGGGAATTTGAAGAAATCGAAACTCTGCGAGAGAAAAGTCAA